GGGGGGGGGGTCGGTGGTCAAAGCCAACGTGCGGCATCGCCAAAGGCAGGCTGTGACGAGATCGAATGTGGTGCAGCGACAGCTGAGGCGACGGCGGAGGGCGGAGATCTCGACTGAACCGAAGAAGAAGGAGCGTTGCACGAGGTTGTGGAGCGGAATGGTATCTTCGTCTGGCAAGGGATCGTACTCGAGGTGCACGCGGGTGACACGAGGTGGGTCCCGCGCACTAAGGAGGTGTCGCTCCCAAACTGGGAGGATGGAAGGGCTCTGGGCCCCTAGAGCTAGCTCGCTGATGGCCGACATAAACTGGACGAGACACGTGGCATCAACCATGGTGTGGTTGAAGCGGAGGGCGAAGATGAACCCTCCGCATTTGAGGCGAGTGACCTGGGAATCAAAATCGCTTTTAAATTTGATGCTTTTGTTGGACATGAAATTAATGTTGGTATAGTGAAACCCTTACAGGGTGTCCAATGTCGAATGTTGTTATGGTGAATTACATTTTTTTACAAGAATTCATCATTTTATATATCTTCAATTTACAATATGATCACAAATGTTGTAAAGGTGTGAATATAATTAATGTCTATAATATAAAACATATTTTTACTAATTTCAAATTATCTAATTATTTAATTAATTTTATTTATACTATATTGTACTGGTTTGTGACCGTTTCCAACTACGCTCGAACCGAACGAAAATTGTAACGCAAATTGTATTTTAAACAATTTTCTCTTTTTATGTAAACGCAAATTTGCGTTACAAACTATTCATAAAATTGCAAAATAAACCTTTAATTATTTATAGTTAGCAAAACAATATTTAGTTTATATATTTTATTTTTGTTTACATAAATCAATTTTCACCTTCTAGTAAAACAACTAAACTATGTAATAATTGAAACAGGTGGGGTTTATGATAATCTATTCTAAGCAAATTTTACCAATTATGATGTATTTAATTTACATTTACCCCAAAAACCGAAAACAGAGGCGAATTACGAGTACAAGCCTGAATTAGCATCAACGGACAACCGGTGACTCCGCCAGAGCCTGGGACATCGTAAAGCAGCTCTTCAAAGCAATCGAACGGCGGCTGAGGGCTGACTCCAAACTCCGCAAGCGACACGTCAGCATCAGCCTCAATGAACAAAACTCCCTCGCCGGTGCACTCCACCACCAGTTTCCTGCCGGTGACTTCTCTCAGCCGCCCGGCCAATGGGTAATAGTAAACCAACGCCCTTGAGACAGCTGCTCGAATAACCCCAACACTAACAGGGTCTTTACCTTCCATAGACGGGCTTTTGCGATAAAACTGTATGATAGGTGCATGGAAACGGAGGCCCTCTTGATAATCTATGTCGGACAGAGATTTGAATTCGTGGGGTGTGGGCTTTGCTGGCCGGAGAAGCTCTGGGTTTTTTCGGGTCACTTTGAAAGTCGGAACTTTTATGGGGCGCATTATTTATTTGAAAAAAAACAAAAATCTGTGGAAAAAAATAAAAAAAAAAAAAATTGGTGGAAATCAATCAAACACACGGATTTTGAAAATCCGTGTTTCTAATTAAATTTTTAATAGAAACACGGATTTTCATAATCCGTGTTTCTTTTTTTTT